GGGGGGGGGTTGCATGGGTTATGGGGAGGCTGCTTTTGGGGATGCTAGAAGCTTTGGGGGTGGGGCTGATGCAGTGAGGATAGTGTGGGGTGGTTGTGGGGTGCAGAGAGTTGTGGGGACTGTAGGGTCTGGGGAGGGGGTGCAGAGAGTTATAGGTACGCAGTACAGGAGGGATATGGGGATCTCACGGTTGCTGGGAGGCTTGGGAATTTATAGAGGAATGGGGGTCACTGGGGGGGATATGGAGAATCTGGGGGTAGCGGAGGACTTGGAATCTATAAGGGAGTTTTTGAGGGGGCATAGAGGACTTAGGGATGCTGCTTGAGAGGAGTCAAGGGGCTCAGGGAGGGAGTGAGGACAGAGAAGGAATGGTGGGTAGGTGGGAGGCTATGCAGGGCTGTGGGGGAGCCATGGACTGTTTAGGGTTCAGGGGTTGGGCAAGAGTTATGGGCTAGGGTATTTTTCAGGGGCCTGTGGGGGTGTGGGAACCTGTGAGAGTTGGTGGGATTTACTTGGGCTCTGGGGGGGCTATGGGGGCTGACAGAGGTGGAGGCAATGGGTGGTTGCAGGGCTGAGTGGTCACCCCAGGCTGCGGCTGGTACAGGCATGGTGGGGCTGTCCTGGGGGTGGCTATGCTGGGGGGGATCACCCAGGGGTGCCTCTGCCCATAGCAGATGGGGGGGGGGGGGGGGGATCAGCAACTTCCCCTGAAGCCAGACTGGGTTGAGGAGCACTCTTTGCCCCCTCCATATCCCACCCCATGGCCACCTCACATCAGCCCGATATGCCTCAGAGCAAGCAAATGAGGCTCTTCCCCAGCCCCTGGGGTCCACTGCCTGGTAAGGAGCTGTGGTGCATTGGGAAACCCCCCCCAACACCGATACTGGGGCTGTCAATGCTGGGGGGGGTGGGTACCCCCCCTGTTTAGGGCCGTAGAGCTGGTGCAGAAGCACACCCCCCCCATAACAGCCTGTCCCAAGCTCCCCAAACCCTAAACTCTACCCCAACCCCATTGGCATCCTACCTGCCTTGGCCCCATCCCAGGGACACCCAGCTGAGTGCCGCCACCCGCACTGTTCCCACCCCATCCCCATTCCTGGGCGCGTGCATCCTGAGCTCCCACAACCCGGGCCAAGGCAGGCCGTGTTCCCACTCCTGGTGCCAGCCTGTGCCGCTGACACAGGCGGAAGAGCTGCCTGGCCGTGAGTCACCCAGTGCTGCAGCGCCGGCGCTCCGTGCAATGAGATGCACCCGGCCTCAGCTGGGCAGATGGAGGCACTGAGCTCTCCCCGCAGTGGCCGTGGACACGACCCTGTGCGTGGAGTGGAAGGAGGTGAAAGCACTGTCCCCGCTGCGAGCCGCCCGACCGGCCCCGTTGCCCCGCCTGTTGCGCCAGGCCTCCTTTGACAGCCAGGACTTCCTCGAGGTATCGCCGCACCGGGGCCCCGCTGCCCGCCCTGCCCGGCCCCACAACCGGCTCACAGCCGGCTCTGACGTCAGCCCTGAGCTGGGCTGTATCCTGGGAGAAATCAGTCCACGGCGCCGCGTTGCCATGGCAATACGAGTTGTTGCGCGCCTCCAAATCCCACATCACTTCCCCATGGCCGTGGGCACGGGGATTGGGAAGGGATGCCCCAGCACAGCGGGTGCACCAACAACCTTGCACATGTGTGTGTGTAATGCGTGAGCCGCGCTTGGTCGCACCAACTGCAGAGAGCGGAGCACATGTGCATATATGCAAGTGTACAGGCACAACAGCTGCATGCGCATCAGTACAAGTGCACGTGTGTATCACCACAGCGATGGGAGCGGGCGCTTAGTGCATGCACGGCGTGACACCCCTGCCCACACCACAGGTCAATGTTGAAGACACTGTCGAGATGCTGCCCAAGTCGCGGCGTGCGCTGACCATCCAGGAAATCGCCGCCCTGGCCCGCTCCTCACTGCATGGTAACTGCCCTGGGAAATGGGGGCAGGAGGGAGGGCGGTGGGGTCCCTGCATTGTCCCTGTGGTACTGATACGGCGTTGCTCCAGGCATCTCGCAGGTGGTGAAGGAGCATGTGACGAAGCCAACGGCCATGGCACAGGGCCGCGTCGCACACCTCATCGAGTGGAAGGGCTGGTGCAAACCCGTGGAGCCACCCGCTGCGCTAGAGAGCGCCTTCAACTCCTACTGCCACCTGAGCGAGGGCGAGCAGGAGGCACGCTTCGCTGCAGGTGGGCACTGCGTGGAGTCTCCGTGCATCCATCCACCCATCTACCCATCCATCCATCACCATGTCCCCATTCATCCATTTACCCCCATGCCCCTGCTCATCCATCTTCTATCCATCCTTCATCCATCCCTCCCATGTCTTCACCCACCCACTCATCCATCCCTCCTTCCACCCACCCACCCAAACACCCATAATTCTTCTTGTCCCCACTCATCCATTCTTTCTCATCCCTCCATCTATTCCCATGTCTCCAACCACCTGTCCCCATGTTCCCATTCATCTGCCATCCACCTCCATGTTCCTATCCATCCATCCATCCTACCCATGGGATGAGATGCCCTATCCTAGGCATGCTGTCCCTGCTGTGCTGATGTCCCCCCCATTCTCACTGCTGGCTGTGTGGGGGTTTGTGCCACCTCCCACTGTGACCACACTGTCCTGTGCCAGGCGTGGCAGAGCAGTTTGCCATCGCTGAGGCCAAGCTGCGTGCCTGGTCCTCAGTGGATGGGGATGACTCCAACGACGAGTCCTACGATGAGGACTTCATGCCATCCTCAGAGAGCTCCCTGCCAGCCGGTGAGCACCCTGGGGACTTGTGGACTGGGGACGGTGTCCTGCTGCCAGGACTTCCCATGGTGCCATCATGGGGCTGGCAGTCATTGGGGTTCCTGGCTATGGGGCTGACCGCTGTTCCCACAGAGCATCATCCCGGTGCGGCGCTGCTGCGGGACCTGCTGCGGGGCCACTTGTGCCAGCTGGGAGCACGGCACGGCTCCTGTGAGCCTGAGAGTGACTCGTCGCGCACACTGTCCCCCGAAACCCTCTGCTCCAGCCTCTGCAGCCTGGAGATGGTGTCCCCCTCCGAACTCACTGCCAAACTGCTGGGCTCCCTGGGGGGTGAGCTGCCCCCCCCGAGCAGCCAAAGTGCCTTGCGGGGTCTGGTATGGCCCCGCTGCCAGGACTCGCTGTCCCCCATGCCCTATGCTGAGGCCTGCCTCTCGCCTGCTGAGGACGAGGTGGTGCTGAGCAAGGACTTCACGCTCCGCCGCAAAATCTCTGATGTTGCCTCCTCTGGGGTTGTGTCACTGGAGGAGGAAGACGAGGAAGAGGAGGAGGAGGAGGAGGAGGAGGCTGAAGAGCCGTGATGCCCTGCAGGGACTCTGTCTCTCCCCAGCACCGTGCCCCCCAGGACTGACGGGACCTGAAGCTGTGGGGCTGGCTGTCCGCATGCATCCCCTCGCCACCCCTTCGTGGGCACTGAGCCCCCCCACCCTGTTGGCACAGCTGAACCTTTCTGGGCTAAGCCCACAGTGCCCCCACTCTGGACCAGGGCTGGGGGTGGGAGTTGGGGCACAGAGGCTCTTCTTGCTCTCTGATGAATTTTATACTGTGAACTGCTGCCTTTGGACACGGGGTTCAGGAGGGGGCCAAGGGGGTGCCGATGTGCCACGGTGATGGAGGTTTCTATGCTTTTGTATGCATGTGGAGGCTGACATGGGGAGGCTGCAGGTGGGAGTGGGATGGGCATGACACCCCCCCCATGGGAGTATCCCCAACCAGCCCTATGGTGGGGGCCCCCAGGTCTGCTGTGGGCCAACCCAGGAGGTGTGACAGGACCCATGACTGATGTCCCTGTCCCCAAGTTGCTCACCCCTAGCAGGGAACCAAGTGCCTACACGGAGGTGGTCGCCCCCCCTCGTTGTATCTGGAGGGCTGACACTCCAGTACAGGACCCCCAGCTGTCCGGGCACACCGTTTGGGGGAAGGAATGCCAATTTTCATTGACGCTTGCCCTCCCTTCCTGCATGGCACTTGTTCTTGTGGGGCCACTTGCCCACTGCATGCCACCCCTTGCCACCCCCCCCCCATCCTTGCACCCCCCAGTGCCCTTTGCTCCCATGCTGCCACACACCCCCAACTCTGCCCTGTGCCACCCAGTTCCTGTCGTGGGACCCCCACCTCTGCATGATCAAGCTGCCGGGGGAGGCTGATGCCACGGTGAGGGGCTCCCTGCCCCCTGACCCCTGTGCCACCACCACGTATAGGGACATCAGCAACCCAGAGCAGGACCCAGGGATCCTGGCCCCAAAACCTACAGTGGGATGGGGAGAAAGGGGTATTTGTGTGCTTACACCTCTGAGGGGTATGTGCACATGGGTACATCTCCATGGGGTGCCGGGACCTACCCCATGCCAGGGTGCCCCTGCCCCTGCCTCCATCCCACCTGCCCTCCAATAAAATCAGTGGTGTGAGTGCTGCACAGCTGTGTCTGCTTACAGGAGAGGGGCCCTGGTGGGGTGGCAGGATGGCGGTGACAGCAGCGTCTCCCGCATGTCCCCCCATAGGGTGATAGAGAGGCCTCGGCCGTTATCTCGCATTCCTGGCCAGGCTACCGGGCTAATTATGGGCATGTGGCAGCAGGCGTCTGGCCATCCCCCTGCCCTGTGTGGGGTATTGGGGACAGGTTGGGCGGTGGCAGTGGCACAGTGACATGGCATCGCTCAGCTCAGCTGCTACGTACCGTGCTGAGCACATCAGCACCTACAGCCAGGGGCTGGGTGCCGGCGAGCCCCGCTTTGAGGGGGAGAGGTACCACTACGACACCTTCGGGTACCCAGGTATGGGGTTTGGGATGGGGGACCCCAAAATGCAGCCTGCTGCCCTGTGCTCAGGCACTGCCAGCCTGAGTTCCCCACGGACTGTCCTGCATCTCCCCTCCCACCCCCTCCAGGTAAGTCCCTTCAAGGGCTTCCCAGAGTCGCCAGGCTCACGGTGTCCCCTGTTCTCCCCTCCCTAAATCTTACAGAGCCTCTCAGTGCCCCCAGACACCCCCATGCCTCTTTCTCCCCCAGCCCCAATCTTCCTGGGTGCCCTTACATCCCCCCAGCCCCTGTGCACCCAGATCCTCAAGGTGACCCAGATGCTCCCATTCACCCTTCCAGAGCCCTCACAGCAACACCCACCCCTCCCCAGACTTTTCTGGCCATCCCTATGTGTCCCCCTGTCCTCAGGCCACCCCATATTCCCTTCCCCACTTCTCCCTGAAGTTCCCCCAGTGATCTCAACCCCCCCAGCTCCCCCTCACCTCCCACTCCCTGCATGTTGTGCCTATTCCTGATCCCTGCAGGTTCCCCGGGCACCGTGTGCCCCTACACTCTGGGCACATGGGTGCAGGTGCAGGGTGAAACCTACCAGGTGGTGGCCGACGTCAGCCAGTTCGATCCTCCTGACATTGTGGTGACCACCTCCAACGGCCACGTTGCCATCTGGGCTGAGAAGGTGAGGACCCCTTCCTCCCTCCCCAGATACCATCATTTGTACCTGGCTAACTGGGAAGCAGCCTGCTGCCCGCCTACCACACATGACCATCTGATGCCACTGTGCCATGCAGGTGGCAGAGGATGGCACGGTGTGCGACACTTTCACCCACCAGTGCCGGCTGCCTGAGGACACGGACCCGCTATCGGTGAGCTGCGCCCTGACCGATGCCGGCATGCTGGTCATCACCGCCTGGCGCCGTGCTGCTGCCCGTCCCGGTGAGACGCCGCAGCCGCTGTACCGCAGTGAGGCGACACTGAGTGCAGGGACGGCACGGGGACAGTAATGGTGACCGTGCCCTGGGGCTCAGTGTCCCCTGCACACCTCCATGCTCTGGCAAGGTGGCTGTTTATAAAGTTCTTTAATTAAATTAATATAAAAATCTCTGTATTTACACAGGGGGATGCACAGTGGAGGGGTTGCAGGGTCCCCATTCCTGGCACCGAGGCACTGGGAAGGCGGCGACGACTTCTCTTGTCCCCATGTCCCTCGTCCAAATGCTTAGAGTGCCCATGGGGGCTGCGGCCGTGCTGGGAGGCGACGGGGCTGGGAGGGGGCAGAAGTAGCAACAGGGGAAGCCTCGGGGCATGGGCAGGTTGGGGGGGCACCTGGCCGCCCCATGGCACTGAAAGGAGGATGCCCATGTCCCCCATAGGGAGCCCCCGCAGCACCCCTGACACAGGGTAGGGGTTTGGTGTCACCGTCACTTGCTGGTGTCCCCATCATCAGGGCCGGCCTCACGGGGCATGGGGTGGTGCTGGTGACGGTCCCAGAGCTGGCGCAGGTCGGTGGTGTCCAGCTCACCCGCACTGGTGCTGCTGCGGCGGAAGCTGGCGAGCGGCGGCAACACCTTCACCCCCTTGGCAGTCAGTGAGCCTTCGATGGCTTTGCGCAGCTGTGGGGCAACCCAGTGTCATCAGTGGGCAAACGGGGTATCCCTGTCCCTGTGCTCTGCCCCCCATCCTCACCTCCTTGAGGGACACCATGCCCACCAGGCGCCCGATGCTGGTGACGTACGCGTGGTCCAAGCCCAGTAGTGAGAAGATGGTGTGGGTCTGCAGGAAAACAGGGGGCTCAGTGGGGTACACAGTGGGGAATTGGGGTGGGGGGATGCAGCAGGGACCCACCTTGTGCAGAGAGGTGCGCTCCACCAGCTGGAAGGGTGCGGGGTCAATCTGGGCGCTGCTGAAGTCCACATTCTGCTCCAGCTGCTGCTCTTCCCAGTCCAGGATCTGAGGCACAGGGAGCACGCTGTGGGACTCAGCCCCATGGCACAGCCCCAGAGGCAACCCCCCGGCCTGGGCTCACCTCTGCCGGCGTCATCCTGTCCCCCAGGTCCAGGTCCTCCTGTGGGAGAGGTGGGCGTTGTGCCGGGTGTGCACAATGGGGTGATGTGGGAGAATGTGATTGGGCATGCCCAGGTTGTGATTGGTGGGGAGAATGCAGCCTGGGTTGTGATTGGTGGAGGAAAGTGAGGGAAATTCGATTGCTGTGATTGGCTGAGAGGATCCATGCTAAGATTGGCCGAGCAGATTTGGGATTGAAAGTTCCCGCGCCCTGATTGGCCAAGCAGAAATCGGGATGCATCTGAGATTGTCTACACAGACACTGACCAAATGTGGTTGGCCAAGTGGAATCGTGCCAGGCCATGATTGGTTGAGAGGATTCAGGCTGGCCTCCAATTGGCTGAGAGCAGCTCTGCCCAGGCTGCCATTGGCTGCAGCTTACCGTTACGGAAATGCGGACGTGCTTGGCCTTGCGAGGGGCCTGGCCCTGCGCCTGGCACCATGCGGGAGAGATGGTGTTAGGGGGCACGGCATGGAGGGGGGCCAGGCTGGGACAAGCAGAGACAGGATGGGATGGGATAGGGCAAATAGGGATGGATATGGGGTGGGTCAAATAGGGATGGAATGGATATGGAAGGGAAGGGTCAAGTAGGAATGGGATGGAGTGGGATGGGATGAGAAAAGTTAAATAGGGATGGGATGGGATGGGATGGGGCAAATAGAGACAGGCAGGGTCAAGTGGGGAAGAGACTGGGACAGAAAGGGTCAAGTAGGGATGGGATGGGATGGGATGGGATGGGATGGGATGGGATGGGATGG